AACTTCATCTGTAAGAGTAAGTCATTCCCAGTTCATAAAATATGGAAAGGAGGAAATCAGATAAATCTTAGCTAGCTTCCCCCAAAACAAGAGGTTTGTTCTTCTCACCCCATCTCTGAATTAATTTTGAAGGCTAGGAAACTAGATGTAGGGAAGTGTTGGAACTGTGAAAGATAACATGGATACACTATTACATACAACAATATTTAAAGGACAATTAAAGGACATAACAGTGTTTAACATTCACTTTAAAAATGGGTGAGAAGACTTCTAACATTCTACTTTTTTTCAAACTGACTTTCAAGCCATAGCTTGAGGTCATGTTACCACTTTCAGTTCTAACCTTTGTGAATGATGTGGAGTAGGATGTTTAGGAATTAAGGAAGCACTCCCAACAAATTGTTTTAGGTGATATTTGAAATACAACAATGGTGAAAAACAAACATTTTAAGGTCCCAGGTTACTGGTCCCTACCTTGCATTCTGCAGGCCAACATGGCTAACTAACTAACTAACATGGCTGGTATATTTGTAGAGATAAGGGTCTTTCCCTCTTGGAAAAGTTAGAAGGCAGTCTCCTAGGTTTCTGTGATTATAGAAGCCAACAACTATAGAACTCTCTGACTAAAGAGCAATCCTAGTTGTTCATGTATATCATAAAGAACACCTGCTGTAGCTCGGTGCTAGTGGCTCATGCTTGTAAACCTATCTCTCAGAAGGCTGAGATCTCAGGATTGAAGTTTGAAGCCAGCCTGTACAGGAAAGTCTATGAGACTCTTATCTCCAATTAACCAACTAAAAAGCTAAAGTGCAGCTGTGGTACAGCCTCAACCTCGAGCAAAACAGCTAAGGGACTGCACCTAGGAGCTAAGGGACTGTACCTAGGCTCCTGAGTTCAAGCCCCAATACCACTACTGGCACACACATGGACACACACACACACACATACACACACACACACACACACAAAACCTATAAATGCTTAACACATTGTACTCAAAAGATATTAGTGGGCTAGACATGTGGCTTAGTAGTAGAGTGCTTGCCTAGCATGCATGAAACCTTGGGCTCCATTCCTCAGCACTACATAAACAGAAAAAGTCAGAAGTGGCACTGTGGTTCAAGTGGTAGAGTACTAGCCTTAAGCAAAAAAAAAAAAAAAAAAAAAGCTCAGGGACAGTGCCCAGACCCTGAATTCAAGCCACAGGACTAAGAAAAAGAAAAAAAAGATATTAGTGGCTACCATTTAACTACTGAGACTTGTGGAAGCCACCTCTAAAAAGGCTTTTTTTTAAATTAATTTACTTTATTATTATAGAGGTGATATACAGGGAGATTACAACTACGTGAGTCAGGTAATGAGTACATTTCCTTTCATACAGTCTTCTGTTCCCTCATTCTCTCTGATTCCCTCCCTCTCATCTCTACCCACAAGTTGTATAGTTCACTTTCATCAATATCCAGTAATCCTCATTGCTGTACTTTTTCACCCTTAAAAGGGCTTGTTTAATAAATATTATTATAAAGGTGATGTACAGAAGGGTTAAAACGGTTTTTGCTAATGTGATCTTCCCTGAGAACCAAGCCATGACCCTGGAGTTGTGAACCTATCACTTTGTACCACTGATCAGGACTGTCCTTTAATCATCCTTGCTTAAAGGATGGAATACCTTAGAACAAAACAAGCAAAAGTATTATAGCAACACGTAGGATGAAATTATTTACTTTTCCAGATATTCTCTGATCTTAGCTTTGTGTTGGAATGACACCATAGACTGAGTTGTTTATGAAGAAAGGATAGAGTCCTTTCTTCCAGTTCTTAAGGCTGAGAAGGCCAAGAGCTGCTTTTGGTGAGAGCCATCTACCTTGCTACATCATAATATGCTGGAGGAATCATCAGGAAAGAATAAGAAAAGAACAAAATCTGTTCATAACAGTCATTAATCTACTTGTGAGGCCAGAGCCCTCAAGGCCTAAATACTTTCCGTTAAGCCCCACCTCTCAACATTGGGGCTTTGGGGACTGGATTTCCAAAGATGCTTTTGAAGTCAAGTTCAAACCAGGGCATCTCCCCACTCAGTTCAAGATGGTTTAAGAGGAGGATGCATGTAACGGCTTCAGTGCAGGGAGCTGGAAGTACAGTACATATTCCAGGCATTCATTCAACTGTGCCTTGTGGTTTTGCTCACATAATCCATAAATGAAAATACCTTTTTTTTTTTTTTGGTCGGTCCTGGGGCTTGAACTCTGGGCCCTGGGCGCTGTCCCTCAGCTCTTCAGCTCAAGGCGAGTGCTCTACCACTTGAGCTACAGCGCCACTTCCAGTTTTCTGGTGGTTTATTGGAGATAGGAGTCTCATGGTCTCTCCTGCCCAGGCTGGCTTTGAACCACGATCCTCAGATCTCAGCCTCCTGAGTAGCTAGGATTACAGGCGTGAGCCACCAGCGCCCGGCGTGAAAATACCTTTTATGGCACAGGAAAGTGATGACAGAACTTTTTGCAGGGGCTGGGAAGTTGGCTCAGTGGTAAAGCGCTTGCCTTGCATGCCTGAGGCCCTGGGTTCGATTCCTCAGCACCACATCAGCAAAAAGAAAAAAGCTGGAAGTGGTGCTGTGGCTCAAGTGGTAGAGCGCTAGCCTTGAGCTAAAGAGCTGAGGGACAGCGCCCAGGCCCAGAGTTCAGGTCCCGCGACCGGACCCAAAAAAAAAAAAAGAACTTTTTGCAATAACTTGAATGAACAACAACAAAAAAAAAAAAACTATAATTTGAGGCAGTAAGCCTCAAAACCATTGATCTGCTTTCTAAACACATGTGGAGTTAACCCTAGAAATAGTGAAAGAAAACAGGGTGGACAATGCCTTAAGCTTCCCAACAGCCCTCTTGCTCGCTCCCCCACCCCCTTTTTGTCAGTTGTGGGGATTGAACTCTGGACCTGGGCACTGCCTTCAGCTTTTCAGCTCAAGGCAAGCACTCTACCACTTGAGCCACAGCACCACTTCAGGTTTTCTGATGGTTAATTGGAGATAAGAGTTTCACGGATGTTCCTGCCTGGTCTGGCTTTGAACCCTGATCCTCAGATCTCAGCCTCCTGAGTAGCTTGGAGCCACTGGCACCAAGCCCCCAACAGCTCTCTTAAAAGCAAGTCCGAAATGTGACTTCTAAACATCTATTCAACACAGTCATTTATGTCAATTTACCAAAGTATTATGGTCAATTTACCAAAAGATTCAAAAGTCCAAATCTAATATTACTTGCCTCTATCTGTCTCCTTTTAAAACCCTTCAAAAGATCTGCATAGCTCACAGAAAGAAACACAACTTCCTGGACAGGATCCAGGTGAATCTAATAGGCTACTCCTCTCCTCTCTTCAACACACCAGGCTCCTGGTTCCATTGGTTGCCAAAGTTCCCTGCCCAGTGCACACACACAGAGACACAGAGACACAGAGACAGACAGAGACAGACAGACAGACAGACAGACAGACAGACACATACACACACACACACACCCCTCATCCCCATGTCAGAATTTTCCTTTTCTTCTCCCTTAGTTGCAATATATACTCATCCTTCCATTGTCTAGCCTTAAGAGAAATGTTTCCTGGCAGTTCCAAATCAAAGGCCCTCATTGGACTTTTGAAGTCAAGTTTTTTTCCTAGCATGGGAAAGGAGAAAAGCTTCCCCTGCCTTCTTAGATTCAGTAGCTGAGTCTTGAAAATTAAATAAATGGACAAAAGACAAAATGACAGGGAAAGAGTCATTCCACATTCTTATACAACTCCTCGGAACAGTGGGGAAAATACAAAGAACCAGGCCTGGGATAAGCTATCAATTTAACTAAGAGTGATGCACTGTGTGAAGGTGGCCAAAGGAAAAGGGGTTGGGACTTCTAGAGGCGGTACATAGTGGGAGATAAATATAGGGGGAAAGCTAATAGAAAATAGGGATTGGTCTATAACCAAGTGCCAGTGGATCATGCCTATGACAGGAACTTTGGCTGTTCAGAGTCACCCTGGCTGAAAAATCCATGAGAGACTCCATCTCAAATTAACCACGATAAGGCTGGGGTGTAGAACTGGCTCAAGTGGTAGAGCTCCAGAGAGCAAGCCAGGCCCTGAGCTGAAGTGGGGTTGATAAAAGTCGTTTTAGTACAGTTTCTGCAAATCCCAACTTTGGACCAAGTACATGGAAATATTTACTATGAAAAGGCTTTGCTTTTGTGTTGACACAATAGAAGCTTATGTTACCTTTCCAAGGGAAACCTGTTGTTTGGGGATGGAAGAGGGGGAGCAGAAATGTCCTCCTACACGTGGCTTGACAACGGCCTTCAGCTCACCCCATCTGAGCCAACGTGTTTTGCACGGGCATGTTCTGATCCCCATTGCTAGCCACCGTCCTCGATGCGTTCTGACGCTTTCCGTGTCTGCCCTGGGCTGCACGCAACTCGGAAGGAGCAACTGTCGGCAACGGTTTTGCTTCCTCGGCGCCTGCTTGTTTCCCCACACGCAGTCGAGCGTGCATTGACTAGTGAATACGCGTTCGGGGCCGCTGCTGTTCCCGGCTTTTCCTACCGCTTTCAGTACCAAGAACAGAGCGCGGCTCCTGGACGCCCAGGGCGTCCGTGTTAAACGCAGGGGCTCCCATCTCCGGAGGACGGGGCTCCCCAGAACCCTAGGACCCCGATTCGGTGCAAGAGCCCCGGGGCCCGGGCCACCCCCAGCCAGCCCTACTCCCCTCCTTCACTACGGAGGACGCGGAGCCGCGCGCGGGAGGCGTCGCTCGTGCCTTCGGAGCTACCCGCGCGCCCTCCACGGAGGACCTGGGAGCTGCGGGGGCGAAGGATGGAGGCCCCGGCCCACCCCGGGCACACTGGGTGACAGGACCGCGGACGGGAAGCCGGGGATGGGGCGCTGCCCGCTGAGGGGCGCCGAGGCGGCCCCGAGGAGGCCGCGCGTCCCCCGCACCCTCGCGTGAGCGGCAGCCGGAAGTGCTGCGTCGCGCACTTCCGGGTGATGTCTGGACGACGCCGCCGCGCGTCTCCAGTCTCCCGGCTGCCGCCGCCGCCTGGGTCGTGGAGGCTGCAGCGACGTCACCGCCATGGCCGGCATCAAAGGTGGGCCTGGGGCGCGGGGCGCTGGAGGGCTGATGGCCGCCCGGGGAAGGGGAGGCTGAAGGTCTCCCGCGGGCTGCGCACGCCGCCTCCTTCCAGGGCCCGCCGCGCGCGCGCGGGGTCCCTGCGCCGAGCGGGGCGACCCCGACCCCGATCCCCGCCCCGCGGAGGTGGGCGCGTCACCCCAGAGGGGGAAGCGTGGTGGCGGCCCCGCGGCTTCCCCCACACGCTCTGCTGCAGCTCGACTCCCCCACGCCTTCCCCGCAGCCCCCGGGACGGAACCCCGCGTGGGCCCGGGGCGCCGTGGGCCGGCCGGCCGGCGGGCGGGCTCCGATCCTCCGGAGTTTGCATCGCCGAGGGAGCCGGGCCGAGTGGGGTGGGGAGCGGGGCGAGGCCGCCGGGGAAGCAGCTGCGGGAAAAGCGGTGTCATTGCCCACTGGAGCGTGATCTCTCCGGGTGCCGGACGCGCGCAGAGCGCTCCGGGACGCTTCTTCCCGAAACCGGCCGAGCCGCGGCCCCCGGACGCCCCGCGCTCACCCCTACGGGAAATCCCGCGCACCTTGCTCCCAGGTGTTGGTACCAGAAGTAGACCCCTGAAGTGACCCCGAAGTGCTCTTGGCTGCTTTCCTCCTACAATTGCACACTCACTGTGCTTTGTTTTTGTTGTTGATTGAAGATTGCTCGTTTGCTCCAGTTTTCTTTAGAAGGCAGGAATATTGCCTTCGTTCCCACTGTCTTGGAGTCTAGTTGTTAGTGTGATTAGAAACAGTGACCCCTTTACTTGTTAAGGACCAACTACATCGATTTCGAGACCTCTTTCTTTTAAAGGAGCCGGCTAGCCATCAAATGAATAATAAGCTTGTTAGTGGTTTTCTATGTTATTTCCTCCCCTCCTCCCCCTTAAGGATAACTTTAGTTGAGCCTCTTTCCCCGGGTCACATTTTTTTTTCCTCGTTTATTTTTTCACTGTCTGAAAACATGGCATTTCCCATATAAAAACATTTGAGCCACGAGGACACTTTCACATCTCTCTTAGAGCTATAATAAACCCCTCAAATCTTTACGTGAAAGGAAGTTGTGAAATGCTGCCGTTTTTTAGGATGTTGTCTATTTCCCTGTTCGTCCTCATTTTTTTTTTTCCCAGTGTCACTAATAAGGAAATCTCTCAGGAAAATAGATTTGTAAATTTATTCCTCCAAATCTAAGTAAATATGAATCTGTTGAAAGTGTCTCAGGTAGAGCTGTACTTTCATTTTTGGTTTCTGGTTGGATTTCGGTGAGATTAGAATTGCTGATCATGTCATCTGTATATTTAGGAGGGTTGCTGTAATTAGAGACCACTAAATATTTCTTGAGCCATTTGACAGTTACTTTATAACAGACTCTTTGATTTCTCATAATTCCTAAGGGGGAGAACTTAGCCCCTTCTACTCCAATTTCTCAATTGTCACAGAACCACCAGTACTTTGTCTCTAGAGAATTTTTCTGGATAATTGGGCTGTTCCATCCCTATCCATATGTGTTGGGAGTAGAAACTAGACTCACACAAGTTTTGTCTTCCAAATATTACATCACTTAATTACAGCATAAATTCTTACCTTGTTGATGTGTCATTTGAGACAATAGCTTACTTGCTGATTTCATAAGACCTAAGAAACTTTACAAATTTTGAGAATACTTTTGAGTGATTTATTTAATCTCATTGGCTTTTATCTGTTATGACTGAGAAACAAGATGTCACAATAAATTGTGAATATCTTTTTAATATGAGTGTGTGAAATAAATAGAACTATCATCCCAGAAGTATTACCTGGATTCCCCAAACAGTTCTAGGGCCTTACTTATTAAAATTCCCTGTAGTTGTAATAAAATAATCTTATGTTTAAAATTGGATTTTGATTCCCGAACCTTATTCCTTTTAGTTCCCTGTGTTTTTCTGTTTTTAAGAATCAGTTTTCTTTTTCTTTCTCTCGTTGAGACAAGAGTCTTGTTATTCAAGCTAATCTTGAATGTGTGGTCCTCCTGCATCAGCCTCCTGAGAACTGGAATTACTGATGTGTACTACCCCACCTAGCTTTTCAATAATTTTGTAAGAGTATACCCAAAGAATTGAGACTTTCTTTTCTGGTAAGAATATAAATGCTATTCTCTACCGTAGAGCTACCCCTCAAACATCATCAAAGTTCTAAGGCTAATTGCCTTTTGCCAAGATTACCACAAAAAATACTTTTGGGGGGGACTTTTTTGGCCTAAGAAAATCTTTTCTCAGTCTCAGAGGCAGCTCTTGCTTGTATGCAACTTTCCCCTACTCATTTGTTTTAATGTGGAAAACACCAAGTTACAAGTTTTCATATCACAATACACAGGTAAGAGTGATTCCTTTTGGGAAAGGAAAGTTATTTTCACTGAGTTTTCCTGGTCCAGAAATTACTGCCTATTGAAAGAAATACATAAAAGAGCACAGATGATTGGTTTTTAGACTAACACATGGCCTTGAACTGGGTTACAAACGTCCAGCTCCTCTCCATCTCTAGATAATTCTTTAATATAAGACTTAATCTTTTTGAACACACACACACACACCCAGTAATTATGTTACAAAGTGTCTCTATAAAGAAAGCTAGCTTTTCTGTGTGAGCTTTGCTACATTTATTGTATCTCTGTATAGTGAGTGTCCTTCAAACAAGTTGTTACTATGTAGTAGTGAGCTTAGTTGTTTGGGAAAAAGTAGAGATAGTTTGTTACTTTTAGTATCTTTTAATAATACATGTTCAGAGAAATACTTGCCTTTCAGATTTAGTTCCTTTGATTTTATAGGTGCCAGAACTGAGAGTAAGATAAAGATTTAGACTGGCTAGTAGCTGCAGAGATTAAGACATGGTGCTGCCTCTTTTTCTGCTGTTTTTACTCTGCTATAGTCATTTTATAAATGTTGGTTATTGCATGTTAAGATCTAGGACATGAGCATCAAAAATAGAGAAACTTGCTCCCTGCTCTCATAAACAGTTGAGAAGGAAAGACAAGTACAAATCAATATGAAATTGAGGTTGCAGTAATTGATACAGGGGCTATAAACAATAAAGGGAATGCTTGCTGCCCCAGAGAGCTACCTGATTTACTTCCTTACTTCCTCTAGATCTCTGCCCAGAGTCACATCAGTGATGCCTTTGCAGGCCACTGTGTCTACACTTGCATTCCTATCCCTCACCCTGGCTGATCTGTTTCTTATTTACTTGCTTCCCACCATTCCTGTCTCTCTGGATACCAGGGTTTGAACTCAGAATTATAAACTCTCACTTTAAATTTTCACCCATGACTAGTGCTTTACCAGTTGAGCCACACCTCCAGCCTGGCATTTTACTTGTTAATTGGAAATGGGGTCTCAATGTCTTTTGCAGTTTTCAGTCTCCTGAGTAGTTAGAATTGTAGGCATAAACCACTGGTGCCTGAATTTTTCTAAATTACTTTATTCTCTCACTATATACCAAGAGAACAAAAGCTTTAAGTGGCTCACACCTGTAATCTAGCCACTCAGGAGGCTGAGATCTGAAGATCAAGGTTCAAAGTCAGTCTGGGCAGTAAAGATTGTGAGATTCTTATCTCCAGTTAAGCACCAAAAAGCTGAAAGTGAAGTTATGGCTCAAGTAGTAGAAAAGCTCAAGGACAGCACCCAATGAGTTAAAGCCCCAGGACCAACACCAATGAAAAAAACAAACCACTTTCATTTTTGTTTTGTTACTGTCTCTAGTAGTAAGATCAGCTTGTATCACACATTTGACAAGGGGGAAGGGGATGATGAAGAAGGGAAGGAGAAATAGAAGGAAAGAAAAGGAATGAGTCTAGTCTGGAGGTTTAGGAAACTTCACTGGAGAAAAGATGGGGGAGCTCAGTTGTAGGAGACAAGGACACAGCTGTGTGAGTGAAGGGCTGGGCCATTACTGCATGTCCCCAGAGCTGCTGCGTGTTCAGCTTCAGTAAACGTTCCCTGCATGGATGGGAGCCTCTCTGAGGTAGAAGGGGAAAACACACACATGCAGAGGCCATATGGATAAAGGAAAAGAGGGAAATTAAAGAGGACCTGTCACTGAAGTATGGAGAGCAAGGGTAGTTGCCTCTTGTGACCTTTCCTGCATCAGGGAAGGTAGACAAAGCCAGATCATTACCTATTTGACTCTGAAGAGAGCAAATGGTTAACTCAGTATTTATATCACATTTACTTGGAAGCTTGAAGTACTTTCTTTGCTGCAAAATAAAATGAAAGTTTTTTTTTTTGTTTAAATTTTCTCCTCCTTCCTGATCATTGAAAATAAACAAACATTAAGAACTAGGTACATGTATATGTTCAGGGTTAACATAACCTCCATTAATGAAAACTAAGTGTGCCAACTATTATATCAGTGGTATCATGATTTAGACTTTTTGTTTTGAAATCTATGTCTTTGGCAGTGTTTAACCCTTTTGCTATTAATTTTGGTCTGTATATGTCAGATTTTGTCTTGGCAACAGTTAGACCTTCTAGATAGCATAACTTTTCTGTTAATAGGCAATACCATTGGGAGGAGGGAGTTATTCCCCTTATAGCTGCAGAAACATAGGTTATATAGAACTCAATAAAGTGACCAGTTATCTCCTTCCTTAAATCTAGGGCATTGATGAATCTTTTTTTTTTTTTTTTGCTTTTTGCTTATGTGGTGCTGAGGAATTGAACCCAGGGCCTCATGCATGCAAGGCAAGCACTCTACCACTGAGCCACCTTCCCAGCCCTGATGAATCATTTTTACTTACATGGGAAAGCACTTTAAAATATGTTGGTGGGTCAGGCACCGGTGGCTAACCCCTGTAATCCTAGCTACTCAGGAGACTGTGATCTGAGGATCACAGTTCAAAGCAAGCCCAGGCAGGAAAGTCCATGAGACTCTTATCTCCCGTTAACCACCAAAAAATCAGAAGTGGCTCTGTGGCTCAAGTGGTAGAGTGCTAGTCTTGACCTGAAGAGTGTAGGAACAGCACCCAGGCCCAGAGTTCAAGCCCCATGCCTGACAAAAAAAAAAAAATGCTGATGGGTGGGGGTATGTGTAGCTTTACACATTATGTCACCTATACAAAGCACTTATGGCAATGAAATAGCAGTATCACAGAGTGGTTGTACAAAAATTCTTCAGATTTTCTAATGGATGTCAGTTTGGGGCATTTTATTTTGAGACAGGGTGTTGCTGTGTTGCCCAGGCCAACCTCAAACTTGTGGGCTCAAGCACTTCTGCCTTAGTCAGCTGTGAGTATGTATGGGTACCATTTGAGCCAGCTGTCAGTTTTATGAGGATTCAGTGTGTGTGTGTGTGTGTGTGTGTGTGTGTGTGTGTGTGTGTGTGTGTGTGTGTAAAGTAGGAGAGGTTTTTCTCATAGGTTGAGGCTCTTAAAGTCCAGTGAACAAGAGAAAGAAGAGTTTTTTTTCACATATGCTTTTTCAAACTCAATCTGTGGAGTAGATACAATACTAATACTTGGAGGGACATTGATCCTATGCATTGGGAAACTTATTAGAAAGGGAACTAGTCTTTGGATAGGGGTGTGCTCATGGTAAGTCAAAGCTCTGAAAAATCAATACAGGCAGAGTATCTGTTACTGGAAATGCTTGGGACAGAAGCATTTCAGATCTGGGATTTTTTTCAGATCTTAGAATATTTGCATATATATAATGAGAATATTTGTGTGTGTATATGTGTGTATATATATATATTTATAAATATGTATATACATTTATGTATAGATATATATAAAATGAGATAGGGATAGGAACCAAGTCTAAACACATAGTTCAGTTACAACTCATACACCTTATACATACACATAGCCTAAAGATAATTTTAAACAGTGTTTTTAAAAAAATAATTTTGTGCATGAAACAGTTTCATGGCATGGCATGGTCCACTAAGATCAGGTCATTGCTGTCAAGGTTTCAGATTTTGGGGCATTTTAGATTTTGATTTTCAGATTAGGGATGAGGCTGGGTCCCTATCATTTCATTTTTTCTTAAAGATGCCAAAGAAGACTTATTCCGAAACCATATAACTGATACTATGAAGACAACTCACTTTTAATATGTTTAAGTTTGGAGGGGACTTGTGGGATTATATGTAATATTCAAACTGCTAATGTTAACAAAATAGCATTAACTTAGTTTAATTGATGTATCTGTTGGTCTTTTTATTTGGTTTTCAGCTTTGATTAGTCTGTCCTTTGGAGGAGCAATTGGGCTGATGTTTTTGATGCTTGGATGTGCCCTACCAATATACAAGTACGTAAGGTTTTTATCTTTTGAGTGTTAAAGGGTAAATTTTTCTACTTCTGAACTTTGAAAATACTGTCTTCTACTGTTAAAGTAATGCAGAAAAATATCCACAAACCAAACAGAGTTTTTTTTCTTTTATTGTCACTTTAAATTTATTTGTGAAGGTATTAGAAAATCTAGATACAAAAAAGACTTGGGGCTTTGATTTGCTCTTTGTGACTTCTGTCAGGTCGTTAATGGCAAGATAGTAACTCAGTGGCTCAGCTCTACTGTTAGTGTTAAACATATATTGGTAAACCTCAATATAAGAAAATTTAAGCCAGGTGCCGGTGGCTCACGCTTGTAATCCTCGCTACTCAGGAGGCTGAGATCTGAGGATCATGGTTCAAAGCCAGCCCGGGCAGGAAAGTCTGTGAAACTCTAATCTCCAATAAACCACTAGAAAACCAGAAGTGGCGCTGTGGCTCAAGTGGTAGAGCGCTCGCCTTGAGCTGAAGAGCGCAGGGGCAGTACCCAGGCCCAGAGTTCAAGACTCACGACCAACAAAAAAAAATAAAGAAAGAAAAAAAAGAAAATTTAAAATAACCTTTTTACAGAAGATACCATAACAGAGTCAAAACACAATTGACTAAAGAAAATAGAAAATAATGTAGACAATTATTCTCCTTAGGATAGTATTTTTTTAACATATTTTTTTGAGTTGGGTCTTACACTGGCCTTGAACTTACGGTTCTCCTACCTCGACAGGAGGAATTATAGGTACATGCCACTCTGTCAGGCTTAAAACTTTTTAAAATTAATATTTAGATAAATTAATAAGAAAAAGACAATAAGCCAGGGATGGTGGCTCATACATAATCCTAGCAACTCTGGAGGCTGAGATTTGAGGATCAAAGTTCAAAGTCAACCTAGGCAAGAAAGTCCATGAACTCTTATCTCCAGTTAATTGCCCCAAACCCAGGCCCTGAGTTCAAGCCCCAGCCTAAGGAGGAGGAGGAGGAATTGGGGGGGGGGGGGAGGGAGGAAAAACATGAAAAGAATGCTACACATTACAAATAAGCACATGGAAATAGACTCAGCCTCACTCAACATTAAATTTAATCTATTGGCAGAGATACAGAATACTTGAAGAGGTATATTACTACCTGCTATTGTGGAGCAGTGGAAATTTGAAAATATTTCCTTGGAGACCAGTTTGTTTGTATCTTGTAGTATCCCAATTTTTAGACTTTCTAATACAAATCCGCTTGGAGATGTTATAAAGATATTGTGTAGCTGGGCACTGATGGCTCATGCCTGTAATCCTAGCTACTAAAAAGACTGAGATCTGAGGATCATGGTTCAAAGCCAGCGTAGGCAGGACAGTCTTATCTCCAGTTAACACCAGAAAACTGAAAGTGGTGCTCTGGCTCATGTGGTAGAGTATTTGTCTTGAGCTGAAGAGCTCAAGGATAGTGCCCAGGCCCAGAGTTTAAGTCCCATGACCTACAAAAAAAAAAAAAAAAAAGATATTGTGTAGTTGAGGGAGCATCTAACTGTTCATGGCAGCCCTGTTTATAATAGCATAAAAGAGCCCTAACCCTAATTACTCAGGAGGCTAAGATCTGAGGATCAAAATTCAAAGCCAGCCTGGGCAGGAAAGTCCATGAGATTCTTATTTCCAATAAACCACCAGAAAACCAGAAGTGGTGCTATGGTTCAAGTGGTAGAGTGCTTGCCTTAAGCTGAAGAGCTCAGGGACAGTGCCCATGCCAAAGCCCCACAACCTACAAACAACAACAACAAAAAATAGCATAAGAGGAAAATCATTGATTCAATAACTATTGAAAGAAAAAATAATGAAATTATGGTACATCCATTGATAGAAATACTAGGAAGCTTTAAGAAGTGAGAAAGAGCTGTAAAGGCTGTTATGTAAAAGATGTTCAAGATATATTGTCAAATGAAAAAGTTCTATGATATACTCACCTTTTAAAATTTTTCCATTTGGAATTATGGAATGGAAACTGAGGGGCTCCCTATGGGATGGAGAAAAGAAAGCAGGGACAATTTTAGTTTTTCTTTAAGTACTTTTGTCCTATTTGAAACTTGTTTTCTTTATCATCCACTTCTCATATTTGTAATGAAATGTTTAGGAAAAGATTTAGGGCACTCAATGAATTTTACTTATCATAAGCTCCTACATACAAGAAATCTCCACTTATGATTTATAATGTGTAAGAATCAGTCTGTTCTGAAGTCCATCTATTTATTTTGAACTTTTCTTTTTGAAATAGATTGTCAGTCACTCAGAGGCTGCCGGTGCCTTTCACACAGCTTACCCTAATCATGACATCTTACAGAATTGTAGTTGCCCCAAACAGGAAATGACATTGACACAATAAAAGTTCACTAATAAACTAAAAGCTATCTGTTTTGCAGCATTTCTTTTTTTCATATTTTGATTTCAGTGTTTGGGGAGTTCGTAGTAACATAAGGGAAGCTTGGGAATGCTTCAACTTTATACTAAGGCAGAATCAAAGGCATGAGTCATGAATTGTACAAGTTATGTTAGTATTCCCATTCTCTCTATGCCTCTTCATAAACTAAAATGGAAACAAAGAGTTAATTTTAGTCCTCAATTCTAACTTGAAAAAATTTGGTGCTGTGTCATAATTGATTGCAAGGATAATATAACTTAAAATGTTTCTTAGAGCCTTAGGTGGCTTGTGTCTGTAATCCTAGCTACTCATGAGGCTGAGATCTGAGGATCACAGTTGAAAGCCACCTTGGACAGGAAAGTCCAGGAGACTCCTATCTCCAATGAACCACCAGAAAACCAGAAGTGGCGCTGTGGCTCAAGTGGTAGAGCGCTGGCCTTGAGCTGAAGAGCTCATGAACAGCACCCAGGCCCGGAATTCAAGCCCCAAGACTGACTGACAAGACAAAAAAAAAAAAAAAGTGTCTTAGTTTAGTATTGCGTTTTACAGCTGTTAGTGTGTTTGTGCCTTGCAATAGTCTTTTGGTCCTTAAATACAAAAGCATGTTTTTGTGTGTAGGAAAATGACATGGATAGCCAAAAGTACATTAACTTACCTTTCTTTTTCTAGCAAATACTGGCCCCTTTTTGTCCTCTTCTTTTATATCCTTTCACCTACTCCATACTGCATAGCAAGAAGATTAGTGGATGACACGGATGCAATGAGTAATGCTTGTAAGGAACTTGCCATATTTCTCACAACAGGAATTGTTGTCTCAGCTTTTGGACTTCCTGTTATACTTGCCAGAGCAGAGCTGGTGAGTCAATCTAGTTTTGTGTGAATGATTTTTATATTAAAATGTGTTCATTTTTTTCTTAAGAGAAGTTTTTTGTTACCAAAAAAAAGAGATGAGATATATGAGAACTTAAAATGTAGAGATTAAATTCTTAGCTTTCTAGTTGCTCTTGGTAAGTAATAAACACACACATACACACACACACACACACAGGGGAGCCTCGCTTGGGTCTGAAATAGCAGTTGGCTGGCTAATGACCTACCTACCTATCAGAATCAGCACCCTGTGCTGGGCAGCTATCAGCCTGCCATGGAAGACAAAGTACGGAAGATGTGCAAAAATAGTGTGGTCACTGCTCTGCAGATTTGAAAAGTATGAAACAGAACTTCTGGGATTCACACAGTCGGTTCTTTCCCCGCACTCACACCTGCATCTCTGGAGGGATGGAGGAGAAAGCAGAGACTGAATATATGTGTGTGTTTTCATCTCTGGTATTTTCAAGTTTTAGGTTCAGGGCTGGGAAGGTTGGCTCAGTGGTAGAGTGCTTGCCTTGCATGCATGGAGCCCTGGGTTCGATTCCTCAGCACCATGTAAGCAGGAAAAACTGGAAGTGGTGCTGTGGCTCAAGTAGTAGAGCACTAGCCTTGAGCTGAAGAGCTCAGGGGCAGTGCCCAGGCCCAGAGTTATGGCACAAAAAAAGAGGAAACAAAAAATAAGAAATTTCTTTCTAAGCAGTAAGTTGTAAAATTCTATACTGTATCATCATAGTCCAGAAGTTAAGCTTTTTGAATATTTATCTCTTATAACTTGCCTTTTTTTAAGCAACCAAAGGTTAAAAAAACAAACCTCAGCAATATAAAAGTACCATAAACATTATTGTGAACCATATTTGCTTTAGACCACTATTCATTTGTAATTAGATCCTTGATTTGCTTTTCATTTCCCTTTCGTTTTTCGTAAATCTACTGACTTTTTATCTTATTTCCATAGATTGCGTGGGGAGCTTGTGCACTTGTTCTCACAGGAAACACAGTCATCTTTGCAACTATACTAGGCTTTTTCTTGGTCTTCGGAAGTAATGATGACTTCAGCTGGCAGCAGTGGTGAAAAAAAGGAGTTACTGAACTATTGTCATGTGGACTTCTTGTCCTCCGTTGGCCATCATGCTCATAGAAGGGGCAGAAACGCCACTGGTGTAGCAAGCCTGTGGGGGGTATTCTAGGTGCTCCCTCCTCACTTTTATTGTATGCATACTATTTTCACAGAGACTTGCTGAAGGATTAAAAGGATTTTCTCTTTTGGAAAAGCTTGATTGATTTCACACTTATCTATTGTATGCTTCTCGTGGTGTCCTGCTGAATCTAAAATATTGATGTGTTTCTCCTACTCCCGTTCCTTTTTTAATCAATATGCAATGTTAAACATTTTCTGAATGTTATAACCATTTACATTGGTTTAGAAATTGAGAATTCTGCTGGCTGCCTAACTGGGCTAAAGTATGTATTTTCTCAAAATTAATCTCCATTCTTATAAAAAATATAAGAATAAGTTTTCAGTCAAGATGATACCACTCCCAATTTTCTTCATACATGCAGACCATTGGCATACTTTGTGGACTATCTACTCAGTGCAAATATAGCTGCATTTATACCTCAGAGGGGCCAAGTATTAATGCCCATACCCTCCATAAGGGATGCTGGTTTTACTAGTAGACAGGTGTTTTCTGAATTGAAAATTATTTTATGGAATTGCTACAAAAGAGTGCTTTCCTTCCTACTGGTTAGAATATGTTAAACTTCAAGGCTAGGGTGTAAAAAACAGATTTTTTGAGATAGTTTTTATTTATGTTTATTACAGTCAAAAATAGAGTGAGTTGCAGAGTGGGAAGAAATGTTGAAATTCCATTGTTTGGATGCTGTTTGTATTTATAAGTGAAACTTTGGATCTTCTGTCAGCCTTTACATTTTGCCATAGGGAAATTGACATTTATGGAGTGACTACTAATGAGGGAGCTTTGTATATTGCATCATGTATACCAAGAAATCTTCCTCTGTTTCCTCCTTTTAACTTATTTTGTATGTTGTATATATTAAGTAAAAGAACTTATATAGTTTAATAATACATAGAAATGTTTGATTCACCTGGAAATAATTGCTATGCCAATTATTGAGTGCCTCTTCCTTGCAAGGCCTCAATATGATTAACAGGTCACTTGTTATTCTGACAGATAATTCATACATTCACAATTTAAGGTTTAGATCGTGGTAAGGGTAGTTCTTATTCTAAGGTTATGTTATGTGTCATTTAGAATTTAAGACATTTCCTATATACCTCTGAATTGTTTAGGTTTGGGTTTTGTCATGATATATCTGCTATTTCCTTATTCCTTATAAAAGGTATTTATCATAGGAATTAATGCAGAGTAGCCAAATCCAGCTGTAGATCAGCTTAATAAGCAAACCTGACCAAAAAGTCCCAGTAACCAGGCAGGATCAACTTATAGTGGTTATTTGCATCTCATGATTATTGGTACCTTTTTAGAAGCTGGTTATGAAAACATTCATGTTAATCTGACAGTATTTTGTTAAGGATATTTGTATGTTTATTCAATATATTTGCATAAAAATTGTTTTGCCTTCAGTCAAAACAGTAATCATGACAGCTTTCTTACATTGTTTTATAAGTTTTATTTCTTAAGAAAATGGGAACAAATTTGTGAGTTGTTCATCTTTTTACTAACGATGCCTAAAGCTATAGGATTGGTTTGTTTTTGTTTTTGTGGGGTTGGTTTTGTCTGGCCCTCGTCTTGTTACTTTTAGCTGCAAAGTGGAAAGCAGTACAAAATATGTGCTTGTGACAATGCCATTTGCACATCAGGTTGAAAATGGCCTGCTGGATAATAATACTCTAAACTTAAATGGAAAGTATGAGTGCACATCATTTAGACAGCCGGTGATATAGTTGGAACACTGTGCCTATGATCTACTGGATTCTTTTTTGTTGTTTTTTTAGGTTTTTCTCAGAAAATGGTCCACCATTTTCTGTTCCTCTAGAGAGTCAATGCCCTGCTACAGTTTTCTTAGCTTGTCCATAGACTCCTAACAGCTGCGTGTTCTTCCTGTATATCGGCAGCATCATGTCTTTGACCTTGCACGCCAGCTTGACAGTGGTGGCTCAGTTTTCTCAGCTAGTTATTTGAGAGAGGAAATTTCCATCGAATATGCACTGATAGCATTGCCATTTTTCTGTGGAAAGAAGGAAAACTTTTTGATGATGGAAACAATAAAGATTTTAAATATCCATTTTAGTTTGTGGCTGTTTTTGGAGTGAAAGTATACTTCACACTTCACTTCCTGAAGTGCATTAGCTATTTTAATAATAAAATAGAAGGCATGTGTGGCATTATACAGTTTAAATTGGAAGAAGTAAAAGTGAAACCAGGTTAACAAATATTACAATGAAGCTTCGTGAATCTTGCCATTAAAAAAAAAAAAACCTGCTGATGATCTCATTTAAGGTCCTACTCTTCAGTTTTTTTAGCTGCATGTCTGACTACATATTTACCAACATTTGTCATCAGAACATTATCCTTTTTACAAAGACTCAAACAAAAGTATAAATATTGTGTGACAGAGTAGGAATGGGGAGAAATACTGTTCTCCAATCAAATGGTTGTCTCCCAGAGATTTCTAGTTGTAGTAATCCCGGTTTTCAAAGTTTAGAGCATGAAACAAGGCCCTGGCTTCAATCCTCATTAGCTCACACAGGTTTAAAGAAATCATAAGTTCTTGGCAACTGCCCTAATAAAATTTTGGAGGTGTGGCCAAAGTAATCCAAATTCTAAAGTCTAGAATATTTATATTGAATGTCAGGTAACTTCTAATGAGTGCATGAAACTTAACAAGTACCCATTCCAATTGCTGTTAGACTATGTTTTTGACCCTAAGATGTTTTATAGTAGGTACCATTGGTGAGAAATTAAAATTCCTATTTCATATATGTGCACATTGTCCGCAAAGATGGGAATTCTTAACCTAAGCCTTTTTGCTTGATGCATTCTGAGATAAAACATGTTGTAAACATTCCAGATGACAGAAGTTTTTTTTAACTTATTAAGGACTAACATTGATTTAATTTTAACCATTTGACCAAAGTATTAAAATGGATCTCACAATTGTGTCTTTTAATAATATATTTAAAATATTTTTTATTTCTCCTTAGTAATTGAGATCTCTTCAGTTGTTTTTTCTCTCTTTTTTTTTATAGTAATGAGATTTAAATTCAGGGTTTTGGCACTCGCTCAGCCACTTGAGCCACAATTCACCTTTAAAATTTTAGTTATTTATTAAAAATAACAGTCTTAATGTTTTTGCCCAGTACTGGCCTCTGACTAATCCTACCTATAGCATCCCATAAAGTTAGGATAGCCTGTGCCCCATCATGCTGTGCTTGTTTATTGAGGTAGTCTAACTTTTTTGCCTGGGCTGGCCTTGAACTTTGATCCTGCCAGACTCTGCCTCCTGAGAGGATTACAGATCCTCCAGAGGATCCTTGTCAGAGAATTATTTTGGGGACTACAGGTATGAATTTATCATACCTAGATTACCCAACCCTCCCCCATTTTTAGGTGATAATAAAATTATATTTGAGCTTTGGCTTTTGCTAGCCAAATGTTTGGTCCTAGCACCCCCTACCTTTTTTGTTTGTTTGCTTGTTTGTTTGGTCTGGTCTGCCCTAGTATATAAACTCCAGGCCTTTTATTTAGCTTGCTTGCTCAACTGGCATTCTACCACTTGAGCCACACCTTTTGCCCTGCATTTTACTGATTTTTTTTGTTGTTGTTTTGGGTTTTATTTTTATTTTTGGAGATGGAATATCACAGATTTTTCTGTCTGGTCTGGTTTCAAGTGGCAGTCCTCCAATCTCAGCCTCCTAAATAGGATTATAGGCATGAGCCCTTGGCACTCAGCTCCCTGTTTCTGCTTTGTAAATTTATAGCATATTAGGAAGAATAGAAAACCAAAATCCCGGTATATAACATTTTGTACTCAGAACAACCACAAATGTACTTAGGGTATCTCCACCACTTACCCAGGGAAATGGTTTGTGAAGGATATTCTTGCTGCTGAAAAGGCTTTTTAAAGAAAATCGACTTCTTTACTCCCTCCCAGGTAACTCAAGGTTGTAAGAAGAGGACGTTTTTGTGCTGTGTGGAAGCATTTAAATGTAGGATTGTTGTGAGCTTAAGATACTCGGAGACATTTATCTCCTTTCTGGCTGTCATGTATCTCTTCACCATTTGTTTTAATTATAAAATATTTAGGAATGAGGTTTGTTTCTACAGTAAAACCTGTTTTGTACAAAATTTTTTACTCTTGTGTTTTGCTTCCAAGAAGATCAGTTGCAGCACCAGATGGGTTTGAACCACATACCCTAGTCACAATTAAGGCTAAACTTGTAAATTGCAGTTGGAAAGGAGGGAGTGAACAGAGAAAGTCCCAAACTATACTAGAGCGATCATATCTATAAAACATTCCTTTTTCAATTATAACTATAATTTCTGGAGAAACCAGATTTTTTTTTATTTCCCAGAGTCAGTAGAATGGCTAATAACTATCAGAGAGAAGCTTTGCTTCTGACTACAACCCTAGAAACCATTCATTAGAATAAAATATTTTAAATTCCTGAGTATTACCATATGTGTTTGTTAAGAATATTGCTGTTTACTAATAATTTATTATCTTGACTTGGTATTCAATGTCAAAAATATCTGCTGCCCTTGGCAGATCAGGTTATTTCATAATAACCTGAGTGCCATAAACATGATCATGACATAAAAGTACACTTGTGTAGATTTGTGAATCTCCCCAAAATAAGACATATTTTCCCAAGAGTTAGGTTTATTAAACATCAAAGTTTTGAAGATTTTTTTTCTAAAAGTTTAATAATTGAAACAGCTTTCTCAGATAAATAGGTGGGTTATTTTTGTCAAAACTGCCTAAAACAAGAACCAGCTCCAAAACCTATTTAGAAGTATTTCAATGAAGATGGTCATTAGTTTTGTAAAGATTTAAAAAATAAAAGTTATTGAACCATACTAATAGGTTATTTACAATATGAATGAACTAGTAAAAAAAAAATTGTAAACACTGAGAAAAGTCCAACTAGGTAGGAAAGATTTGGTGTCACACCTGTTTCTCCTGTCACTGAGCTTATTTTGCTGACACTCCATGTTTTGAGCCAGTTTTTTCCACCTACAAAACTGGCCAATTATTAGAGGCATTTGCCAATAGGTATTATGGGTCAATAGAAAAAAGTTGCAGCTGATGGTCTCTAAATTAGTGATCAAGTTCCTAAAGATGAAGACTCCAGTTCCTAACCTAGCAGAGAGTAGCATGGATGTGCATGGAAAAGCTGGGAATCAAAAATGAGAGCAGATAAGTCTGTTCACCTCCATCTGTCTCATGTCATCACAGTGGAGATGTGAGCACAACTGGAATATGGTGTTTGCTTGCTGTAGGTTCTTCAGCTTTCTGGGCTCAGGAGGCAGGTGGAGCAGCAGCCATAGTAGTAACTGCTTCTTGATTTTGTAAGCTGGCTCTGAATCCCAAGTGCCACAGAGATGTGAGAAGTGATGACATTTGACCTTTTATTTGTTTATTTGTTTTATTTTTTTGTGGGTTGTGGGCTTGAACTCTGGGCCTGGGTACTGTCCCTAAGCTCTTCAGCTCTACCACTTGAGCCACAGTGCCAATTCTGCTTTTCTGGTGGTTAATAGGAGATAAGAGTCTCACACACTTCCCTGCCCAGGCTGGCTTTGAACCACAAGCCCCAGATCTCAGCCTCATGAGTAGCTAGGGTTATAGGTGTGAGCCACCAGCACCTTATTTATTTATTTGCTGAGGACCAAACCCCAGGCCTTGGACTTGCTAGGCAAGCATTCTTCCACAAAGCTAAATTCTCAACTCCTAGGCAGATTTGCTAATGAGTTGTATGGGAGAAATAGAAGAGCCACAGGTGTCACTTCTGATGGTTTATTTCAAAGAAGTAGGTATGAATTTACAAAGGAGAGTTGGAAAAAGTAGCTAATATTATGGACCATGTGTCCATCATATCCATTACACATAAATACCTTAGTGTTGACCTTCTCTAAACAGAATGATACAATTGAGACCTGGCACTCTATATGCCAGGTTGGGATAGTATCCCATATTGTGGCGTCATGATTACAATATGGGCTCCACCTAATGTCTTAACTCTTCTTTATGTGACACAGGCCTGGGTGTTAAAAGTTAGGCCCACAGCCCATGATGCTATTAGAAGTTGTCATCACCTTGCTATTGCAAGATGCTTCTCTCTTAAAGATGGAACCTTTATGAGGAAAGTCCTAATGGGAGGAAGTTAAATCACTGGGGGAATACGCTGGATGGGACATCAGGATCCCAGCTGCCTTCTGTATGCATCCTGGCTGCTGTTAGGTGAAGCAGCTCCTCCCACCATGGGTTTCCACCAGAATGTACTGCTGCCACAGGCCCAGAGAAAATGTCAAGTGACAAAAATAAACATTTCCTCCTTTTAAATTGATATTCTCAGGGATTTTGTTACAATAACGGAAAGCTAACAGTGCCCATGGCTGCAATATTGAACTTCCTTTGTTTCCACATCTGTAAAATGAGTATCATCTTAGTAAATACTTTATAAGGTGGTTGTAAGGTTTAAAATGTAACAGGTAGAGGTCTCACAGGTACAGTGATAGTATCAGCTACTATGGGCTAGGAGTACCACTTGGTAGTAGAGTGCTTACCTAGCATGCATAAGGCTCTGGGTTAGATCCTCAGCATCAAAAAGAACTATAAAAACCAAAGATTAACTATTACTATCATAGTTTCTTGCCAATATAGTTTCTGACCATTTCTTTAGTCTACCATTTCTCCCTTTTACAAAAGTAGAGAAGTCTCTTAAAATTTTTGATTGGGCTGGGGTTGTAGCTCAGTGATGAGTATTTTCTTAGCAAGTGCAAAATCGGGTTCAATTCCCAGCACAAAAAAATAAATGGAATCTATGGCTAGGTACCAATGGCTTACATCTATAATCCTACCTCCTCAGGAGGCTGAGATCTGAAGATCATGGTTTGAAGCCAGCTTAGAAAGGAAAGTCTATGAGACTCTTTAATTAACCACCAGAAAGCCATAAGTGGAGCTGTGAGTCAAGTGGTAGAGTGCTAACTTTGGGCAAAGAAACTCAGTGACAATGCCCAACTTCTGAGTTCAAGCCCAGCACTGGTACGTGCATGTGTGCAC